GAACCATAGAAAGCTACATTGTCAACTTAAGTATCAATCAAAGTTTTATTCAAGGGTAAAAGTCATGTTAAGCAGTAAAAAGAGAGATTATAGCTTATAAAAGACAGATGAAGAGTATATTAATTGTGTGTGAGAGAGAGACAGCAAAAAAGAACATGAAGAAATACCTGGCAGAACTACATAGCTAAGTAGATAAGTCATCTAGCTAGAGATTTTAACAGGCCCTTTCCAAAGCAAAGCAGACAGAGATTCTTCAGCTCCTTCAGCTGGAGAGCAGGATGATCTTTTTAATGTGTTGTTGAATTCAGTTTGCAAGTATATTATTGTGGATTTTTTTATATGTCCATCAAAGGTAGTTGTCTATAGTTTCGGGGGGGAGGTGTCTGTGTGTGTGTGTGTGTGTGTGTGTGTGTGTGTGTGATTATCAGGGTTTGGTAGCAGAATAATATTGATTTCATGGAATTATTTTGGAAGGGATCCTTCACTTCCTATTTTGTGAAATAGTTTGAGGAGTATTGGTATTAGCTAAAAGTCTGGTAAAAATTCATCAGCCAATCCCTTTGGTCCTGGGCTGTCTTTGTTGTGAGAATTTTATTACTGCTTTAAAACTGTTTTAAACTCTTGGTTCAATCTTGGTAGGTCATACGTGTCTAGACATTTATTTCTTCTAGATTTCTAGTTTATTACAATATTTTTTCAAAATATTCCCTAATTATCTCATTTTCAGTAGTATCTATTGTAATATCCCCTTTTTGTCTCTAATTTTGTTTATTTGGTCTTCTCTCCCTTTTGGTTAGTTTGGCTAAAGGTTTGTGCTATGGTTTAGATATGAATTCCCCAAAAAGGGTCTGTATGGGAAGTTTGACTCCTATCTGGTGGTACTGTTGGGAGGTGACTGGATCGTGAGGACTCTCACTTCATCAATGGGTTATTAGGTTTATAGCTGAATGGGCTATTAGAAAGTGGGCCAAGTTGGAGGAAGCAGGTCATTGGCAGTGTGTCTCCTTTATATATCTTGTCCCTGACCCTCCCCCCTTCCCTCTCTCTTTCCTTCTGTCCACTGATTTTGAGTTTGGTTTGTTCTTATCTTTTTAAGACTTTGAGTTGCATCATCAGATTATTTACTTAAGATTTCTCTCAAGTTCATAGCTATAAACTTCCCTCTTAATACTGATTTCACTGTATCCCATAGGTTCTAGTGTGTTGTGTTTTCATTTCATTTGATTGTTAGAATCTTTTTAATTTCCTCCCTCATTTCTTCAGTGACCCCTATTCATTTAAAAATGTAGTAACATTCAGTTTCTGTGTATTTCTGTAGTTTCTCTTGCTGCTTATTTCTACTTTCATTCTCTTATAATCTAATAATGTGCAAGAAATTATTCTTGTTAAAGCTTGCTTTATGGTCAAAAATATGATCTATTTTGGAAAAAAATTCCATGAGCTGATAAAAAATGTGTATTCTGAAGCTACTAGATGAAACATTTAGTAGGGGTCTATTAAATTCATTTGACCTATAGTGTAACTTAACTCTGATATTCTGTTAGTTGGGTTTTGTTTGGGGGGGGAGAAGGGGGGCCTGGGTTATGTATTTGTGAGAGTGGAGTATTTAAGCCACCCACTACTATTTTATTGGGTCCTATCTGAGCTGTTATGTCCAGACATTTTATAAAATGTGGTGCTCCAACATTCATGTATATATGTTTACAATGTTATATCTTCTTTATTTTCTTTGTAAGAATTTTACCCCAAGACAGAATGTTTTCTAAGCATGAATCTGGAGATACTTCAACTAGGAGTTGACAAGGAAGAGGGGAGATAATGATCTGAATAATGTGAACTGCAGTGGGTTGATGGTGAGGGCTCCTGAGGAATTCCACTTGGGAAGCACAGAACTTTGAGGTCTACCCGTAACTCACCTTCCCTCTAACTTTGAAAGGTCTGAAGGCTCCAGACAAAACAAAACACAGACATGCCTTCTGAAAGATTGCCTCCAGCTAGTACCCCAATATCCTGTTAGTACTCAACTCTGAACTTTTGGGATTGGCCTCTTACCTTTGCAAGAAAGAGTAGACAGTGGACACCTTTGTCTCATTCCTGACTTTAGAGGAAATGGTTTCAGTTTTTCCCTGTTTAGGATAATATTGGCTATAGGTTTATTGCATACAGCCTGTATTATGTTCCTTCAATTCCTAGTTTCTTCAGGACTTTTATCATGAAAGGATGTTAAATTTTGCCATAGGCTTTTTCTGCATCTACCGAGATGATCGTGTGATCTTTTTGTCCTTTATTCTGTTTATTTGCTGTGTTATGTTTATTGATTTGCATATGTTGAACCATCTTGCATCCCTGGAATGAAACCAACTTGATCATGGTACGTGATCTTTTTAATGTGTTGTTGAATTCAGTTTGCAAGTATTCCTTGAGAATTTTTGCATCTACTTTCATCAAGGAAATTGGTCTATAATTTACTTTTTTGTTGTTTCCTTATCTGTTTTGGTATCAGAGTAATAATGGAATCATAGATTGCATTTGATAGCACTTCTTCTCTTTATATTTTAGAGAATAGTTTGAAGAACAATGGTGTTAGTTCATCCTTAAAGGTTTGATAGAACTTGGCACGAATTCTTTGGGCCCTCTGCTTTTCTTTGTTGGGAGATTTAATTACTGTTTCAATATCATTGCTCATGATAGATCTGTTTAAGTGGTTTCTTTTCTCTTGGTTCAATTTAGGTAGGTCATATTCATCTAGAAATTTATTCATCTTTCTACAGGTTTTCTAAGTGTTCCCTAATGATCTTCTGAATTTCACTGATATTATTGTTGTGATATCCCTTTTATTATCTAATACTATTAATTTGGGTCTTCACCTTCTTTCTTTGGTTAGTTTGGCTAATGGTTTGTCAATCTTGTTTATCTTTTCAAAGAAAATATTTTTTTTGGTGGTACTGGGGTTTGAACTCAAAGGTTTGTGCTTTGTAGGCAAGAACTGTACCCCTTAAGCCACACGCTCAGCCATTTTTCTTTAGTTTATTTTTCAGATAGGGTTTCACACTTTTTTCTCAGGGTCAGCATCAGAATATAATACTTCTAACTCCACCTTCCACTTAGCACTTGCTACCATCCCTAGCTTGCTTTTTGAGATAAGGTCTCGCCACCACTTATTTTTGTCCAGGCTGGCCTCAAACCACAATTTTACCATCTGTGCCTCCTACAGCCATGAACCACCACACCCAGTCCTTCAAAAACCCAACTTTTTGGTTCACTGATTCTTTGTGTATGCTTTTTAGTCTCCACTTCATTAAATTCTACCCTGAATTTTATTGTTTCTCTATGCTTTTCTAAATTTGGGTTTGCTTTGTTCTCATTTTTCTAAGAACTTGAGGTGTATCATTAGGTTATTTGTGATCTCTTGATTTTTTTAATGTAGGCACTATTACATATAAAATTCCTTCTTAGCATTGCTTTGCCATGTCCCCAAGGTTGTGATAAGTTGTGTCTTCATTTTTATTTGATTCTAGGATGTTTTTTAATTCCCCCCTTATTTCTTCAGTGGTCACTGATCATTCAAAATGTATTGTTCAGTCTCCATCTTTGAATATTTTCTGTAGTTTCTTTTTCTGTTGATCCAATAAAACACAGGACATTATTTCAGCTTTCTTGTTTTTGTTAAGGTATTCTTTATGTCCCAAATATCTATTTTAGAGAAAGTTTCATGGGATACAGAGAAGGATGTGTATTCTGTGGCTGTTGGGTAGAGTATTCTGTAGAAGTCCATTACATCCATTTGATCTACAGTATTGTTTAATTCTAAAGATTCTTTGTTGATTTTTTGGTCTGGATGACAATTGATGGTAGTGGAGAGAATATTGAATTCACCCATTATTATCATGTTGTGGTCTGCCGTACTTTATGTCAGTAGTGTTTTGTTTTACAAAATTTGGTATGTCCTTGTTTGTTGTATATGTGTTTACAATTGCTATCTCTTGATGGATTGTTCCTTTGCCAGTATGAAGTGACCTTCTTTGTCTCTTCTGACTAATACTGGGTTGAAGCAGATGTAAAAGTTCTGTGGATAACTTTTGAACAAGTACTCAAATTTTCAGTAAATAAGATTTTAAGAAAATACTCAGTCTTACAAATAATGAAAAGAACTTTTCTTTGATAACAGAATAAAATTTATCAAGTAAGCAAAGAAGTTTTTTAGAAATAACAAAACACCCCTGTGGCCAGAATGTTCTGAAGCACAAACTGTGACAGACAGTAATAGAGATACAAATGGATTCAGTCTTTTTTGGCAAGCTATTTGGCAATATATGCTGAAAATATTGATATGTTCTGCCTTAGTATTGCTTATTCTAGTAAATACTTATTATAAAGAAATAATCAGAAAGGCATGCAAAAATTTATGCACAAGAAGCCTTGCCTATCCATCACAGAATTACTTACAATAATAAAAATCTGAATTCTAACAATGGGAGAATAACTTAATAAATTGTGGTGGAAAAAATGCTTCAAAGGATTTTTAATGATAAAAAGACAGGCTTAAAATTAAAAAGCAGGATAAGAATACAAGTCTTTTTAAATTTTTAAGTTTTAACTTTAAATATATATGTAACTTATAAGTCATTGTATAAGAAATGTACCAACACTTTAATGGTTATTATCTGAGAGTGGTGGAATTATGAATGATTATTTTCTTCTGTATAGTTTTCTGTATTTTCTAAATGTTCTATAAGAAGTATGTTTTATTTTAATACTAAGAAAAAAATGTTAGAAAAAAATAAGCTAAAACTCAGAATCCCTTATACTATGTTCACTCTACTGTGGAATGGATGTTTTAGACATAAAAGATGAATGAAAGAGTTGGGTTAATGATCTCCTGAGTAGAGACTTATGTATGACAACTCACTAAATGAACTGTCTATAAGTTAGGCCTTGTCAGTTAACCAGCTAAATTGTAGAGCTGTTGTTAATTGTGCAAAAATACTCTCCTTTCTAAGGTGATGATAAGGATGGAACTTCAACCAAGGAGACAAAATCTTTAAAAGTCAGATACAAGGATTCAGAAAAGAGGTCAGTTATGTTCATTCATCAAACAGTCTTGGTACTACTAGATGTAAACACTCATGTGTGCACAGGATTACTTGCCAATAAACCATGTTTGCTGATTTCATAATACCAAAAAACTCTTGAGTTTATTTGGTATAGCTGATACAAGATCACCAAATTTTATACTGCTTAAAAATAATGAACATTATATGAATAGTCATCCAGCCTCTGTACATATTTGAGAAAGGAAGTAAAATTGACCCGAATTTGCCATTTTATTAGCTGCGAAATGTTGACTGAGCTATTGAATTTTTTTAAGCTTTATCTCATCTATAAAACTGGAATAATGCAACCTGCTAGGTATCTGGAATAGAATCTGGTACACAGGAAGTTACAGCTCTGCATTTCTTGTGCAGTCTGTGGTATGAGAGTCACTGTCCACTTCTTCCTGCATCTTAGCATGAGTCCCTGGGACATTGATGCCACATCCTAAATATGCTTTCCTGTCTGTTGGCTGTCTTCACACCTTGATTATTGCATCCTAATTCATACCCCCATCACTTCTTGCCTCTACTGTTAACAATAGCTCCTAGTTAATTTCCCCAGACCTTCCAGCCCATTTTCAATGTAATAAGAGATTATTTTTAATTTTAAGTAGTGAGTAATGAAGAAAGAATATTTATAAAATATGTAAAAGACAAACAATAATGCCATGTTTAGCTTTGTGTGTTTTTTAATGTTAAGCAAACAAAGTCACTCTGTATGCTCTTCTGTGACTTACATTTTTTGGTGGACAGTTTGTCCCTGTTATTACTCTATTGTAGCTGTTCTTCGTTCACCTTCACAACTATCTAACAGTCCATTACTTTATGACATAAATCACAGTTTAAACATTGATAAACATTTTGCATGTTTCCAACTTTTGTTATTACAAATCCTACTGTATTAATGACAATACCTGTCTCCTTACTTATATGCAAAAGTTTGTTTCTTTTTTGAGATAGTACCTCATTATGTTGTCCTGGCAGGCTTCAAACTATCCTCCCGTCTCAACCTACTGAGTAGCTGGGATTACAGTTGGGCACCACCATGCCCACTGAGTTTCATTTTTTTAAGATAAATTAGAATGTTTCTCTTTTTATACACTTAGTGACTTCCCAGTACATTCTAAGTAGAGGCAAACATTTTGGTGCAACTTAAAAAGCAGCACCACCACCCCATCTCCTGGTCTCCTCCTCCTGTTGCATCAATGACGCTGGCTTTTCTTTCCCCAGTTCTTCAGACTAGCTTCACATCTTGGCTCAAAATGCTCTTCCTCCTTTGTCTTGCTAGATCTCACACATTCTTCAGCAGCCCTCCCTCCATAGCCTCATCTGTTGTCACTACGTGCCTCCTCATGGGGAGCCTGTCTCCTCCTTTGCTCTTACCATGGTATGGTATTCATTTTCCCGTCCTGCTCAGTTCAGAGTAACTGAAACATAGTCTCCATTCATTAACTGCTGAGGAAGTGCCAGCTGGAACTGTGTGAATGCATCCCATGTTAATGTGACTAGAAAGTTTCAGTTCGGTGATGCCTTTCTAGATTTTTCATAATTCATAAATATTTTATGATAATGGTAACTCCTGAACTGTGCAAAATGTCTTGACATCAGCCCCATCAGCACCAATCCTACTAACATAGAAATTCAGGGTTTCACCAGGCTGGACTGACCTAGACTAGAAAAGACCAACCTGTAGGACTTTATAAAGAGGAGTACAGACTGAAAAAAATCTATCCATATCTGTTAAATAAAATATGTACCTCTGCCAAATAAAAATATATTAAGTATCAGGCTGTATCTATGTATATTATTAGAACACAAAATAAATAAATGTTGACTATGAATCTCATACATATGTTACTTTAAAAACAGTGAGTAATTCACATGACTTTTCAAAGGAAAAATTATTTATGCCAGTATTTAACTGTATTGTTATCTTTAGTAATGAAACTTTGGCATGATATCAAGATAAATTTCTCAGCTGCTATCTAAAACTTTTAACCTTACCTTTCTGTACACAGCCACCTCAAGTATGAAAACACATGGTATCTGGAGAAAAATCCTGATAAATTGACAGTAATGCTTCAAAAACTGTTTGTGTTTGCATTTACCTGGGCATTTGGAGGAACTTTAAAACGTGAAGATGAGCATGAAGATGACACACTATTTTTTTCAACTTTTGAAACAGATTCTTTTGCAGAAGTTACCTATAATTTTGACAACCTTGTTCATGAAATATTTGAAGGTGAGTCAAAAATAAGTATGTTCTGGGGAAAATCATTATTATGCTTCTTGTATAATATGATTTAGAAACTGTGATTGGGCTTACATTGATGAAGTCCATCTTTTAAAGTATGAAGATGGAAGGTAAAAGAGAGTTACACCAACTTACTTAGTCACACTAAGTACACCAGCACGGTCACTCATGAGTAACAGTAGCTTCCCACATGAACACAAGGCAGAGGGTGAGAGTAGAATCTGGAACCACGAGCTCAAAACCCCAGTCCATCCACTGTGAAGCTGGGGCAGCACAACCCACAACACCATGCAGCAGAAACTTACGTGAGGCAGGACATACTGTCTTACATTTCTTCTTATAAGAAACTTGTGACTTATTTCATAAAGCCTGGGATTTGCTTAGAATTTGTACTTTTTGAGTCATTTATAACAAATGGAATGCATGCTAATGCTTAAAACAGTAAGCCTTCCCCATCAGCTGTTACTGATTAAAGGAGCTTTGAACAATAGAGGTTGTTGATGTAGGTACCAAAAACAGACAACATAGTGATGTATGTAGAATAACCTCGTTAAGTAAGACTAGAGCTAAAAACATGATAGCAAAAGCACAAATCCAGCTCTACCCACATCCAGGTGCTGGGGTTGCGAGGCAAGTGCTCTACCACTGAGGTACTTCCCAGTCCTGTGTGATGTAACTCTTAAAGAATCCCTTCGAGGTTATTTGTAGAAAGTTCCATTTAAAACATCAAGGTAGAAGCAGGAAGTGCAGCTTAGTGATAGAGCACAGCCACCAAAAAAAAAGTTTAAGACATCTGGATGGCAAAAAGTCTTCAGTAGAAAGTTTTTCCTATAGAAATTAACTTTTAATCTCAAAGCATTGCATGCTCATTTGTTATTGAAGTTAATGGTTCAATCCCATGCCTCTATTCCTAAAGATAAATTTAGAGCTTTCTGATTTTATGGTGTAAATACCTAAGACTTATAAACTTTCCTTTTAGCACTGCTTTTGCTGTGTCCCACAGGTTCTTGTAGATTCATTTCATTTTCACTTGAATCTAGGACTTCTTGAATTTATTCCTTGATTTCTTCAATAGCAGACTTACCATTTGAAAGTGAATTGTTCAGCTTCCGTGTGTCTGAATAGTCTTTTGTAGCTTTCCTTGCTGTTGATTTCTAACTTTATGACCTGCTAGGATACAGAAGTTTTATATTTGTTAAGACCTGCTTTATGGCCAAGGTTGTGATCTGTTTTGAAGACAGTTTCATGAGAGGCTGAGAATAACATGCTCTGCTGCCATGTCTGTTTATCCACTACATCAGTGGTGCTGCTCAGTTCTAAAATGTGGGGTTTTAAATTTTGAGGGGGGTCTGGATGTTACATCTGTTGGTGAGAGTTGGTGAGAGTAGAAGGCTGAGAGCACCTTCTATATGTGGACCTATATGTCCTTTTATGTTAGGTAATGTTTTATGAACTTGGGGGCACCAGCATTTAGTGCATATATATTCAGAGCCATTATATCTTCTTGGTGGATTGTTCCCTTTATTAATATGTAGTGACATTTTTTGTCTCTTCTAATTGTTACTTAAAATCTTCTTTGCCCTATATGAGTATAGCTACTCCTGCTTGCTTTTTACTTCTGCCTGCTTGGTATCTTTTTATGTCCTTTCACTTTTACCCTGTGTGTCTTTGGTTGTAAGGTACGTTTGTCGTACACAAAAAAATTGTGTCCAATCAGACAGTCTGTGTCTTTTGATTTGGAGAGTTAAGCCCATTTACACTTAGGGTTATGATTGAGAGGTATTTATTATCCCCATGGTTCTATTGGGGTTGTTCCCAAGTTAATTATAGTGTTGTTTGTTCTTTCCTTTCACCATTATTCATCTTCTGGTTTTGCCACTTGGCTAAGTTGAACAGTTTGATAAATTCCTAGTTATTATATGTTTACCCTTTTAAACTATGTTTATCCTTTTAAATTTTGTTCTTTCCTGGGCTCTTATATTTGTGACATTTTTCCTTGCCTTGTGTAGTAGTCCCTTAAGTATATTCTGCAGTACAGGCTTGGTGGACTTAAACTGCTTTTAGCTTGTTCATCCTGGAAAGTTTTTTTCTTCATCAAAATTGAAGGAAAATTTTGCTGAATATATTATCCTTAGATGTTGGATATTTTCTTTCAGGACTTAAAATATTTGTGCCTTGCTTTCCTGGCTTTTGGGATCTGTACCAAGAAATCTGAGATGATTCTTATGTAAACTAGCATTTTTCTCTTGAAGCTTTCAATACTTTTTCTTGGTTCTCTTTTCTTGGCATTTTAATCATGATGTGGAGATAACCTTTTCCAGTCAAGTCTGCTTGGAGTTTGAAATGCCTCCTGTACATAGGTATCCATGTCTTTCACAAGATTTGAGAAATTTTCTGCTATAATTTCATTGAATGGATTTCTTAAACCTTTAGTTTGTATTTTAGCTTCTTCATCTTCTCCCATGAATTATTACATTTGGTCTCTTGATCATGAGTTCTTGAAGATTGTGGTCACAGTTATTAATTTTGTTTCTTTGTTGTTGTCTAAGTACAATATTTCCTCTATCTTTTCCTCTATCCTTGATACTCTTTCTTCAGCTTGGTCTTGTCTAGTGATGATATGATCCACTGTGGTTTATTATTTAATTCATTGTGCTTTTCATTTCTAATAGTTCTGTTTGGTTTTTCTACAATTTCCATTTCCTCACTGAATTTCTCATCCATGTTTGCCTTTCTTGTCTAGGTCTTGAACTGATTTCCTAATTTCATTTATCTGTTTATTTGAATCCCCGTTGAGGTCATTGATCATTTTTTAAAGTAGGCTTTTGAATTCTTTATGTGATATTTCAGCCAGTTCATTATCTTGGATTCAGTGATTGAGTTATTGTGAGGTTTTAGAGACATGATATTGACTTGTTTTTTTTCAAATTGCTTGTTTCTACATTGTAATTTGTACAACTGTTGGGTGAGTTTCTCCTTTGTTTCTCAAATAAGAGTCAATTGCTGTAACAAGATTAACAGTTCAGCAATAAACCAGATATTTAAGTGAATTAAGAACAATTGGAAACCTCAATTACTGCTCCAATAAGAATATAGAAGAATGGAACTTGAGTTTTTTAAGATGTAAACTGAGAGCCTAACAATGGTTAAAAGTATAGGTATTAATAAGTAATCTAAGGGATGGGAGTAGGAAAACAGGGAGAGAAGAGAGAAGGTATAAGAAATAATAATATGAGAGAGCACTGTATAATTATTACAGAAAAATACAGAATGGTTTGGGAAATAGGGAAAACAAACATACAAACAAATAAACAAAACAAAAGGGTCTATATTTCTTGCTGAGAGAAGTGTGGATACAGACCAGTTCCTGTCCAAGTGTCTAGCATTCTCCTGCAAATCTTTGTCCCTCAGAGATCTGACCACATCTTTTTAATCTGTTTTGCACTGTGTACCTCTGAGCAGGGACCTGTTGTAATTTCTCTCTAGGTAGGAGTGTGGTGCAAGTATTGACTACAGGTGCTATATCAACAACTGCAGGGGGGCACAAAACTGTTAGGTGGGCACAACCAACTATGTTAGCATTCCTTTGGAAACCCAGTCCAAGCAGGTGGTGCTTCTCAGTTTCATAACTCTTTCTGGCAAGGATTCCTAACTCTACTTGCAGAGATGCACCACGGTACTTCCCAGCCCAGTCAGGCAGGTATTCTCAAATGGTGGCTTTTCTAGTGGTGCAGCTGCTATCTCTATGGGTAGGACTGCTTTGGGATCACACAACCTCAGTAAATGGGGACTCCTGTATTTTTTTATAATTGTTATAGGATAGTAGTTTGTTTGCTGGTTATTATTATTTTCTCTTCCTCTTTCTCTATCTTTTCTCTTTTGGTGGTGGCATTGGGAGTTGAACTCAAGGCCTCTTACTTGCTAGGCAGATGCTCTACCACTTGAGTTACTCTCAGTCCCACTTATTCAACCTTTAATTAGATTTTCTCTTTCCATTACCTTCTTTTTCATTCACCCTTTCTATTTACTTCAGCCTCTTCTATTTTTGTTTTTCATATTATCTTATATTATTCACCAGTATTATTTTTTCTATTTTCTTTGTACTTCCTATCCTTATTAACTAGTATCTTCTTAGTTCAAGTAGTATTGTCTTATCCATTATTCCTCTAAAGTTATTGGAGTTGTGATGGTAATTGTTCTCAATTAGTTACTACTATATGTCCCTAATGAGTATGTTTATAAATTGTGGTACTTTAAAGCTTGTTTTCTTCTCTCAGAGACATGCTGGGGGCCATACCCCCTGATTTGAGTACATTGGGTGAATATTTGGCTACTGAGTCACACTCCAGTACAGTGGTGGTAAACCACTGTCACTGCACAGTCTTACAACTGAATGAATACATGTGATTAAAACTTCCAACCAATGACTTGGCCCCACATGAGTAAATCTCAGTGCAGAAACAAATAATATGAACAAAATGCAACAAAACCCCTCTGAAAGTCAGTACCTCCACAGTAATGGCCTTTAATTGATAGTGAAGTGGATGCAATTCTGGGCAAAGAATTTTTTAAAAGATTATAAGAACAATCAGTGAAGTGAAAGAGAACCTGAATCAGCACCTGAATTTTTTTTTAATTATTTTTTATTCATATTTGCATACAATGTTTGGGTCATTTCTCCCCCCTTCCCCCATCCCCTCCCTTACCCCCCACCTCCTCACTACCAGGCAGAAACTATTTTGCCCTTATCTCTAATTTTCTTGAAGAGAGAGTATAGGCAATAATAGGAAGGAACAAGGGTTTTTGCTAGTTGAGATAAGTACAGCTATACAGGGAGTTGACTTACATTGATTTCCTGTGCATGTGTATTACCTTCCAGGTTAATTCTTCTAGATCTAACGCCTTCTCCTATTGGCCTCAGTTGCTTTAAAGTATCTGCTTTAGTTTCTCTGTGTTGAAGACAACAATTACTATCTAGTTTTTTAGGT